CCAGTGTACCACAAAAAACAAACAGAAAAACGTGCTCAAACAATTTTTTGGAGTTCTCAATGATTTAGCAGAAGGTTAAAGCATAATGGAATATTTGTCAAACGTTTGTGCTCAACTTTTGTGGATTATTTTCCAAATATACACAACAGCTGTTTTTAAAACTAAAAACAAACAAAAAAAATTTATTCCAGCAATGTTTCAGCATTCAGTGTGTTTGTTTTGGGTGAAGAAAGAGGACTCCAGAATTCAGACCCCAAGACAGACAGAGGAAAGCACATTAAAGGCTATAAACTGAATTAAAACAGAAAATCCAACATGTGCAAACACCAAAGAGAAGGAGAGCGGGTTGGATATCAAAGGAGGAACAGACAGTACTGGCAACAAAAACCAACTTCAGAATCCAAGAATTATTTAAAGAGAGGTGAACGTTAAAAAAAAAGAGCGGGTGATCCGTTTGGGCAGATGAAATGCAGCTGTGAGGTGCAGAAAAACAGTGACAAAGGAAGCAAACTTGAAAAAAAAATTGAAATGTGCTGAACACAGATCAGAGATTTACTTTAACAAATAATGGAAAAAAAACTCAGCTTTAAAAAAAACATAAACCCAAGGATCCTGATAATGGTATGGATGCTCACTGCCTTTTTTTGCAATAATTGATTTTTAGTCATCATGCATGAAAATTGAAAATCCTYCCAGTAGGAAATAKAAAGTGTATAYTCTYATCAAACCWTTGATTGATTTATMATTTCAATCAACTGACYTGTTTTCCATTTATATTGCAGAATGTGATTATTAWTATTTAGTGGGGCAAAACAAAACAAATATGAAAACAGTACAACAGACACTTGGTTTGGTTCATGTCTTCCACACCAACATGATCATATCTGTATTTCTACTAAATATAAAAAAAACTGTTTTGAAAAGGAAACAAAAGAGTTTGTCTGCCTGAAGTGAGGCGAACCCTCTTTCACACCAAGCTCATAGTGAAAAAAATGTGATCATAATTGATGATTAGGCTTACATTTCTCCCCTTGAACCGGTTCAAACATCTCGGCTTCCACACAACGTGAACCCTGTGAGACTAAACACTGAATAATTTCATGCTTGTTGTCTTGCCACACAAATCTCAACTTGCAAWGGTGGATAAACTGGTCATCAAAACATCTGAAAGGTCTGAAAAATGGCAACCCTGCCCTTCTCCCACCAAACATGAAATATGTATAAAGATAAAACTTCATGAGCTTGTAAGGAGGAATAAGGAAAAAAGAATAATTTAAACAGATCCAAGAAAGGTGGATACTCTGACACAAATTTAATCTGAATTTTGGAACCTCTAAAGGAGACTTCAATAAGAATCATATATATA